TTCTCCAATCACAGCAAGCCACGGATGCATAAACACATGTGAAAACCAGGTTACCAACCTAAAATCCCATCTCATTATGACAACAGAGTTATTTAAGGAGGATATGCATAACTCACTGAAAGAAATACAGGAAAACAGAGATAAACAGATAGATGCTCCAAAAGAGAAAACAAATAAATCTCTTAAAGAAATACAGGAAAACACAATCAAACAGGTGAAGGAATTGAACAAAGTGTTCCAAGATCTAAAAATGGAAGTAGAAACAATAAAGAAAACACAAATGGAGGCAACCCTGAAAATGGAAAACCTAGGAAAGAGATCAGGAGTCATAGATCCAAGCATCACCAACCGAATACAAGAGACAGAATAGAGACTCTCAGATATAGCAGATAGTTTAGAAGATATTGACACAGCTGTCAAAGAAAATTCAAAACAGAAGAGACTACTAACCCAAAATACCCAGGAAATCCAGGACACAATGAAAAGACTAAGCCTAAGAATAATAGAAATAGAAGAGAGCAAAGATTCTGAGCTAAAAGGAACCAAAAACATCTTCAACAAAATCATAGAAGAAAAGTTCCTCAACCGAAAGAAAGAGATTACCATAAATGTGCAAGAAGCTTATAGAACACAAAATGGATTGGACCAGAAAAGAAAATCCTCTCATCACATAATGATCAAAACAGCAAAGGCATAGAACAAAGAAAGAATATTAAAAGCTCTAAGAGAAAAGGGACAAGTAACATATAAGGGCAGGCTTTTCAACAGAGACTCTAAAAGCCAGAAGAGTCTGGACAGAGATCACGCAGACCCTAAGAGAATACAAATGCCAACCCTGGCTACTGTACCCTTCAAAACTCTCAATTATCATTGATGGAGAAACCAAAATATTCCATAACAAAACCAAATTTAAACAATACCTATCTACAAATGCCATATTATTATATTATAACCTAATAAGAATATATACTTCTGTTTCAAATCATAGGGGCAGGGAGTATGGCTTATTTGCTGAGAATGTTTACTGTGCAAGAATGAGAACCTTAGCTTTAACCACCAGCATTCACTTAATAAACCAGATGTGCATGTCTGTAGCCTCTGTGACTAGCCCTTATGGTAATAACAAGAGGATTGCTTGTACTGCTTGCTGAGAGCCTTAACTGGGAAATAGTTAATTCTAGGTTCAGTAAGAGACCCTATCTGAAGAACATAACATGTAGATCAGTAAAACAGATACTAGGATTCTAGAAGGAAAACTCCAACACAAGGAAGGTATGAACACCTAAGAAAAAAACAAGATATTAATCATCTAACAACAAAACCAAAAGGAGAGAATCACATACATGTAATGGCACTTATAACAACAAACATAACATGAACAAACAATTTTCTGTCTTTAGTATCTCTAAATATCAATAGACTCAATTCTTCAATAAAAAGACATAAGCTTAAAGACTGGATATCCAAGCAGGATCTAGCATTTTGCTACATACAGGAAACACACTACAATGACAAAGACAGATACTACCTCAGAATAAAAGGCTAGAAAAAAATTTCAAGCAAACTGTTTCCAGAGACAATTAGGAATTTCCATGCTAATATCCAATAAAATAGACTTTCACCCAAAAGTTATCAAGCAAGATATGGAAGGACTCTTCACACTCACAAAGGAAAAATCCACCAAGAAAAATGTCAATTCTGTACATCTATACTCCAAATGCAAGAGTACTCACATTCATAAAAGAAACTTTACTAAAGCTCAAAACCCACATTGAAAACCACACAATAATAATGGGAGACTTTAACACCCAACTCTCACCAATGGACAGGTTATGGAAACACACATACACACACAAAACCCCACAAACACAGTGAATCTAATACTGTTATGAACCAAATGGATTTAACAGATATATACAGAACATTTCAATCTAAAATAAAACAATATACCTTCTTCTAAATGCCACATGGTACCTGTTCCAAAACTGACCATATAATCAGTCACAAGTCAAGCCTCTACAGATACAATAAGACTGACAGAATCCCACACATTTTGTCAGATCACCACAGACAAAGGCTAGGCTTCAATAACAAAAACAATAGAAAATACACATGTACATGGAAACTGAACAGCTGTCTACTCAATGATAACTTGGTCTGGAAAGAAATTAAAGCGTTCCTGGAATTCAAAGAAAATGAAGACACAACACACCCAAACATATGGGACAGAATGAAAACAGTGCCAAGAGGAAATTTCATAGCAGTAAGTGCCCTAGTAAAGAAATTTGCTCCTTTGAACTGTACTACTTTTATTTGACTTAGGAAAATTCAATGAGATGAGTGGTTCTTAGTATTGGATTCAAAGAATCATCTTGAAACAGTTGAGTTGAACACGCTTCCAGGTAACAACGGGGCAACTGTGAAATATAGTAATCTCTGGGCAGAGACGAAGGGCATAACTATTGAAGAATGCTGCTTTTCTCATACAGCCTGTATCCACCTTTCCAAGAATGGAACAGCCAGTTAATGGCTCTTCCGACAGCAATTATCAGTGTAGAAAGTGCCCCCACAAACATGACCACAGGCCATTCTGACTGAAGCCATTTCCCACTTGAAACCCTGTCATATAAATCTAGCCAATGTCCATAAAACAACTGAAGCCAAGAGGACCACATTAGGAAACAAGCTTCATAGCAAGCATTTGGGGGAATATTCCATATTCCAAGTGATGATAATCAGGATGAGAAAGTGGATGAATTTGAAAGAGAGTTAAATCAAGGTGATGTTCTGTTTTTTGATGGGTTGACTGAATCAGTGATAATGTGTGTTTATGTAAGTGTTAAAGGGGAGTGAATTTGTCTCTGATCAGTATAAACTCATTTCTTATCATACTTGCATATTTTAACAGAACCATTTAATTTTACTTACTTTTGCTGTTTGACTGAATAAGAATATTCTATTGATATCAAGTGCTAAGTCAATGATTACAGGTAAAGTAAAATTAGGAAGTGGATAACAATTCAGTTCATCTAAATTATATACATTTCTCTTGGAAAATTTACATCTTTTTTTTTCATACAGCCCCAGAATCCTCCTTCTTTTGATACATCTGTTGTCACAGTTCTCTGTGGAATCCTAGCCTGCTGATTCCCTATTGTATACTTTTCCCTTGATTCATTGTTTTTTTTCCAGAATGCTTGTTGATTTACCACATGCACATCAATGAAATTACAAATACATTATCAAGCTTCACCATTTTATTTCCTATCATCCCCCCAATCCTACAAACCTTCAAGTTAGGTTAATACTTTTACTTTTTCAGTTCCTAGGACATAGGTGTTTTTTTTTTAACAAATTGTGATGCTCTTCCACTTCCTTTCGGAATAAATACTCTCCAAATACTGTAAGTCATCCTCCGTAATGTAAAACTAATTCTTACTAGAATTTTCCGATTATAACAATAATGCATACAAAAGTGAGTTATCATATATTTGTTTAAAGAGCTCTGTGATTTTTCTATGAGTTCCTATCATCCTATCTGTATTGCATATAATATAAAAGCATTCTAGATTAATGTCCTTCATATTTTGTTGACTTGTATTTCATCAGACATTCATTACTGCATCAAAAAATCATAACAAGTACACAAATCTAGATAACATCAGATAGATTCTTCTTGTCTTTGAAACATTTTGTGCCTTCTGGAGCATCATCTAGTATGCTTACTTTGTGTAAGATAATTTGCATACTCATGAAAACTTCTTTCACAAGTTCATCTGAAAGTTCCAGAATTTTCCTCACTTTTTGTCGTTGTGTTGCCCGCAAGCAGAAGTACCTGATTCTCAACAGAATATAACTTCAACCTTATTAAGTAACATACTTTACTTTTAAACATTCTGTGTCATTATTTTTCATTTTCACTCATGTTCAAGTTCTGAGAAATCTGCAGGTTTTGACATGAAGAACAAGGAGAAAGACAGAAACAGCATAAGAACAGATGACATCTGTCTTCCCTGCTGTGTGACCTTAATAACTGGAGTATATGGAGAGTCTGAGATAACTTGTGCATGAGAGGAATTGTCAGCACCATAGGGACGTGCACATGTGGAATCTGTCTGAGATGGTGTTAAGGAGGAGTGTGGTTGAAGACAGTTCTTGGAGAAATAAAGAGACAGTTCATACTTGTATCCTAATAGAGTTCTGGGATGTTTAAAAGTTATGGAACTTAGGAAGACTGCACATGTATGCTTTTTGTCTTGCTTGTCATTAGACTGAGAATTTGCTTGCAGACAGCCATTTGCTCTCAAAGGCTATCTCCAAATTTCTATCTTCTTGGTCAAGTGGATTTACTGATTAACCATGCAAAGAGCATGCTTTGCATGTAAGTTCAACCATCTTTATTTTGCATTCTAGAGTACGTTAACAAGTGTCTTATTGTCAAATCAAACCACTAAGTTTAGAAAGTTTCCCAGGAATATTACAATACCATAGATCAGTTTTATATTAAATGGACAAAGCAATGTATGACAAGGTATTTTTTTGGTATGACTTTTTTTTTTCACTTTTCATAAAATACATTCTGGCTACAGCTTCTTCCTTCTCCATTACTCCAAGTTTCTCTCTTCCACCTCCCTTCTTCCCCAGATCCACTGCACCTCTGTTTCCCTTCAGAAAAGTGTAGAACTCTCAAGTATATTGAGATCATAGCAAGATGCAATAAGTCTATGTGTAAACTCTAATACCATAGATGAATGAGGCAACCCAGTATGAAGAATATTGTCTAGAGCAGACAAAAGAGTGAGATATATAGCCCCCCACACACATACTTTCCCTTTTAGGAGTCCTAAAATGATCTCATTTCTAAAGAAATCCATTTTTATTTATTAAGGAGCAATTCATTATACACATATTTGTACTGAAAAAGTAAAAATCAAAGAAAGGAAGCATTGATGATTTGGATTATCAGGGAGCATCCTAGTAATAGCTGGACTTATATGTGCTTAGCATTTGTTGTTCTGGATGATGCGGCACTTCAGGACCTCAAGATAAGTGGCAACTTTGTCAATATCACTATCCAGGCAATGGAGTAGGTTACTAACAACAAAGCGTCGGATATCTTCATTGGTTGACCTCACATCTGCCAGTGCCATTGAAGCAGTGTAGACTTTTTCTTCAGCTCCAGGATGAACCTAATCACCAGAAGAACTTGTATTATTTATAGTAGTCAGTTTTTATGCCTTCCTTGTGTTTGTATGTTAGTGTGTGGTGTATGTGTGTGTGTTGTTTGTACATGGATGTCCATGTGTGTAAGTGTGTGTGCATATTAGTTTGAAGGTTAGAGGTGAACTGGCATAGGGTTTTTTAGATTCCTTGTGCCTGTCCTATGTGTAAATATTTGACATAGGTTCTCTTCCTTTATCAGAGATTTGCATATTTCTGACTTCAGACTCAAGAAAACAATCAGGATGTTAAATGAATAAATCAATTAATTCATGGAAAAAATAAATAAAAAGTAAAAATAAAGTCAAAACATAAGCCACCATTTCCAAATTTTGATGTAGATTCAGGGAAGTGTAATCAGCTATTCATGCTTGTAAGGCGGGCTCTTATAAACTACTACATCACCCCAGCCCCAGCTCATATTCCTTATAATTTTGAACAAAAGTTTGGAGAAAATTTAGGAATAAAAGATTTCAGACAAAATCAAGGCATTGGCCAAGTAATTGTAAAACCTTTTGTGTTTTGAAATTTATGGGATATCAAGTTCTCATTGGAAGCCTTAGATGATGTCAACCTGCCAACAATTATTTACTGTCAAAGCTGTGAACATGTTGGAAGCCTAAATTTAACTATTCTGAATTAAGTATCTCTAGTTTCATTTCTCATTACAATAAAATACTTCTTTTGTGAAAAAAAAAAGAAGGAAAGAAACCTAGAAAAAAAACACTCACCCTGATAAGGATTGCCTTGATTTCTTCTAGAATGTCTTGGTTTGCTTCCTTCACTTCTTTGACTTTCAACAGCAAGGTCTCATAGGCCCCTTCAAGAATAGCCACTACACGCACAAGTTGTTTCAGAGGGTAGTACCAGGCACGTGAAATGCTGATCATGATCTTCAGAAGGACATCTGACTAATCAATGATCATTGAACATTAAGTTAAAATAAGTCAAATACATCAAAGTAGATACATGTGGTATTTGTATGATCATGGTTAACTACAATATCTAGTTGTTTGAATGAGTGTATGGAAAATGTTTGGTATGTAAAACATTATAAAAATGGAAATTTTAATCCATAGAACTTCAGTTTGCTAAAACAAAAAAAATCTTTCTTTTTTTCTAAGACCAACTTGATTATATTTTGGTTTTCTTCTTCATTCTATCATGCTGAATTCATGATCTTTTCTATTTTGTTATTTCTCTTGTTCATGAGTAATCAAAGATTTGCTGACACTTGGTAGGTGTCCGCAGGACATGATTCATATAAAAAGACACTAATATCAACTGTCAAATGGGCAAAATCATTTTCATATCAAAATAATGAAATTAGTTACTCATATTCACTTATCATTTTTATATTATTCTATGATATTAAGAATACAATAAAGAAATCAACACATCCATAGACTTTTAATGGTTGACGTTCCTTTTCTTCCTTGACCTTTGATAGAGAAGCACATTTATGGGCATATTCACTGAAAGAAATGTGGTACAGCATTGCCTTTAACAACATTGATGTAAAACTCATTAGACTCTAGAAAATATCTGTCGTCATAGAGAGTATATGCTCATTATCAAGATCACACATAATATCCATCTCCAATTTAAGATATTTGCTATGTTGTCTCTTAGCAACTCTACTTGTAATTAAATTGGACCATAGAGTGGAATCCAAATAAACACTGTACTATATATGTGTAACGGACATCAAAGAATGAATCAGGACAAATTGTGATGGCAGAGCAAGTTGCTGGTAGCACTGTGGCATTATGATTAAGAATGATATTCTGAGGTGAATGAAGAGCAGAGTCATATTATTGTCCTCCATGCAAGTGATGTAATAAGTTCTGTATAATCTTTTGACAGTCTTCTTCATAATTTTCCTAATGAAATATTTTTAGAGAACATTTATGAGGATTAAATGCATCAATGCCAATATGAAGTGTCTAGCTATAAGAAAATGTTTCCTCTTTCATCCTTCTCTTCTTCCTTTATTATAATTCCATTTTTATTAATGGAAATAGTTTCTGTCTAGATGATAGATACTACTAATTAAATAATAGAAAACAAATTATAAATTTGATATATGTACACATATTAAGCTTAGTTTGAATTATACTGATGTTCTTCTGACATCAAGTTACAGTAGATAGATAACAATTACACATTAGAGCTACCAAGATATGTACCCCTATCAACACAAAGGCACATGATACCTCCATGAGTACAGATTCTTGTTTAACTGGTTTTCAATCATAGCAGAAAAGAAGACAGACCAGTCAGGGAGGAATGCACATGTAATGAAAAAGCAAACAGAAATAGAGTAGTACTGTATCTCAAAAACAAACAAAAAAACAAAAACAAAAAACAAAAAAAACCAGGCATTCTGGTCAGTTAAGAAATATACTGTCAGTGGAGGAGCCTCTTTGATATAATATGCAACTGTGTTTACATCACTTCCACATGTGTGAATGAATGCATATTCATTTTTGAATGGTCAACATAGGTTACAGTAAGTACAATCCTATCTGCACGGCAGTGGTAAAAACAAAACAAAACATAACAAACAAAAAAACAAACCCGTCTAATATCCTGGTTGTGAATCACTTATAAATTTACTACAGTCTGAGGTAGCATTAATTTTAACATATAATGTAGTTACAATATCATGTTATTAACTCTTCAATCTTCTGCATATTATTGTTGGATATGCTATGACCACTCCTGTAATGCATCTGTAATAACCTACAGCACAGTAAACCTTGTTTGTTGCTTCAGTTGTTTTGGGGAGAACCAGGAATGAAGATTTACTTGTGTCTGTTGGATTTGCTCAACGTTTGCAGGGGTAGCAAGCGAAGTAGCGTGACAGGTGCTGAAGTTCTTCGCTCTGTACCCAAGGCTATGAGCAAATTTTGTGTCCTGGAAATAATAAAACATTTCAACTTATTAGCATTTTATAATTAAATAAGTGCAGCTATGTTTAATACATAAATGTATTATATGTATGTACAGTTTACAAAAATAAATAAACATTACATAAAAATTGAATAGCTAAGCAAGCAAATATACTTACAGTTTCTTCCCATTAGATATGCAGTTTCATTTACAAAACTATCAGTCCAAGTCACTAAATGTTTGAAGTGTCTGACTTATAACTTGAGTTAAATGATGTAGAATAATGTATCCATATCTATGTATCTATTCCTCACTGTTGGTCTAAGTTGGTATACTTATTTTAAAAATATATATTATGAAATTATAACTCACAATAACCACTGAGCTTTTAATGTCACCATATCAAATTCAAACTTAAAAGGCAATCGTGATGGTGAGGTTAAAATTAATTTTAAAACTCAGAGACCAACACAAAGAGGATACAGATAGATTGTAATAGCCAGAGAATTTGGAAGTATGCAATGAGATTGTGTCTCCTAGAAATGACATGGTAGTTATACACATGATACCACAACAAAATGTATATCTTGTTTGTACTTGAACAATAATAACACCAACAGACATGCTAAAAACTAAAATGTTAGAATTTGAGTGGCTCCCATCTTTGGACAAAGAAGTCCTGACTACTAATAAAAGAAGTATATTTTTTCTATGATATTTTCTGGTTTAATCTGTAGCATTTTTGAAGGGCTCATTATAGAAGAAACAAGATGGAAATGAAGTACTTACAAACTCCTCAGCCATTTGTGTGGTGAGGTTAGAGATGTATTGAGCAGTGAAAATAGCACTGTCAAAGAGTTCTAAAATGGGTATGTCATTGTATCCTTCCATGTCAAAGCACACTGGCATGGAGTACACATTCTCCCACAGGAGAACGTTTGACATCAGCAGTACCTGAAGCATCCCTGTGATAAAGAGAGAAATCACACCCAGATGATTCGTGCAAATGAAGTTGCCAGGGTTAACCTGCTCTGTTCTGGGAGCCCTGTGCTGCATAATTTGCTTCTGTATGTCTGAAGTGGGGAATAATCTTTGTCCACTATAAAAAATGGAGGTGGTATTTAAATTTCCCACTCACATAGTTTGAGAGTTGGTTGATTTTCCATATCTTTGACTTGTTCTTGAAGTATTTTTAACTTTATAAAGAATTGGAACTTACATTGATACTTATCCACAATATTTAGTCCTTCACATATTATAATAATTTGTTATATGATGTTCATTTTAACTTATTCTCTAAAAATTTATATTTTTTAAAAATAAATATCCAATGCCAGAGTTTTAATAATTGATGTCACAAGGAGCATAGATATATTTCCATCATCTTCATTTCTGATGAGAATAAACACATTATTGCTGGATTACTGGCAATGAATACGAAGTGAAGGTAGTCATAAATACGATTTCACACCCTCAAGTTGGCAGCTCACAATGATTACCATGTGTGGTGACCATTTTACCAAACCACTTGATGTTTTTACTCTAAACTTGATCTGTGAGTACACTGGATCATTTAAGTTTTATCAATCTGTATTGACTGTATAAGGTTGAAATATGGAAATGATAACCCTACAGTCCTATCATGACTACTGTGAGAGTCAATTTATCAGCACCACAGAGTCATCACTTCATCTTGTCACATAATAGACACCTGTGGCCTTTCATTGTGCATCTGTGTGGCAGAGAATTTTATAAGCCCAAATCTTGCCATTCAAAATGCTTCTCTTCAATTACAAGGAACAACACTCTCTTTGATTATCCTTTATTACATCATTACAGAAATCCCGGGAGATTTCATGTTATCTACTTTTCCTGCTCTATAAAAAATACTTAGGTTTAAATATTTTGAAATGATCAGTGATGATTTCATTGACTTTTTGGTTCAGGAATAGTCATAGAACTCCAGCTAATCAATGGGTACAATTTCAGGAATATAGAAACATGCAAATGTTATGTTAATATATCCATTTTAAAACTAAATGTTATATGTTATAATTAGAATATAGTCATTCAAAGGTTTATTAAACTGAAAGAGTTAAATAATGCAGTCCATGTTAAAATATACACTTCTTTAACACAGTAAGTAATGTTTAGACAGTTAACCAATAGTGTTAGTAAAAATTCAGTAATATTCTTGTTCATTTGAGCACTACTACATGAAAAATATAAAGAGAATGGATGTCTAAATTGGGGTTTATCTAAATATTACTGCAAAAATTAATGGTCCCAATAAGCAAGCAAGCAAGCAAACAACAACAACAGATCATACATACTTCCTTCATCCAGAATTATTAATATTATTATTATTTTGGTTTTTCAAGACAGGGTTTCTCTGTGTAGCCTGGCTGTCCTGGAACTCACTCTGTAGACCAGGCTGACCTCGAACTCAAAAATCCACCTGCCTCTGCCTCCCAAGTGCTGGGATTAAAGGCGTGTGCCTCAACTGTCCAGCCAGAATTATTTTTTAAAGAAAATACTTCTTTTATTTTTTGGAATATTATATAATTATCTTAGTTTCCCTTTCCTCTTAACTTTGAAGACCCAATGTAGTCCTCATTTTTCTTTTAAATTCACAGCTCATTTTTTAATTAATTGTAATTATGTGCACAGCAGCATATTGTGCATATATATATATATATATATATATATATATATTCTTCATAAATATAACCAGGTAAGTCTGAATGTATGTTTGTATGTTTTCAGGGTTGATAATTTGGTAGTGCAAAACAATTTTTGTGATCTTATTTCTCCTATTCTTTTGAACATGTGTGACAGTCCTAAAATATGTCTAAAACACAAAGTATATTTTACAGGAACTTAATTTTTACACAACATTTCACAAATGCAACAAACATATATTTAACATATAACTAGGTACATGCTAGTATTTATGCCTGGAAAAATAGCTAACTACCAATATTTTCAATTTTGAAATAGTTCAAAAATATACATAGTATATTTTTGAGTAAACAATATTTTAGCTAGAGAATGAAAATAAGAGATCATTTTATTATATTAATTAGTTTTCCTGAATCCTGATTTGAATAAGAATTTAAATCATCTCTACACAAACAACCATGAAAAATTGAGGCATCTGAGAACAAGAGAAATTGTCTTCCCATGATTTCTCAACACATCAAACAATAACCCAATATCAAATGACTAGCCCTCAAACGTTAAATACAAATAAAAATATGTAAACTGAGCCGATTATTTTTAATAATATATATGAATTCACATATACATCTATGCATGAAAAAAGGGACCACATTTTTCAAGAAAAACAATGAGAATTTATGAATGGTATTGAAGAGAGTAACAGGAAGAAAGGAATATTCTAAGTATAATCTCAAAGTTGAAAAGTGAATTTGATATCGCATGTTTTTCAGAATTGGATACATTGTAAGATAAAGAAAAACAGCAGAGAACTCCATCTCCATTTCATAAAATAAATTTCTGGCTGCCATCAATTTAGTTTTCATGAATCATATGATCTACACAAAGAGAAGCTGTTTGCTAACACAAGCCTGCTGGTCTTATTGATATGATACTTGCCTTCAGTTGAATAGGTTAAAGAAACAAATCTATTATTATTCATTATATTAGTCTTTATGACTAATATTAATACATATATGAGAAACAGAAAACCAAAAGATCTTAGCTACTACCTTATGGAGTTTAGACAATTGAATTAACAAATCTTGACTTCTAAATAACATATTATTTCTAAATTTACCAAGCTAGCCATTTGAGTTGGATAATATCATGTGTAAAAAGTGTTCCACAGCATTTTTCCATTATATATCTGTAAAATTACCCCTTCTACTCTCATGTAAGTTAAGACCTTATAAAATGTCTCCAGACATATTTATGTTTGTCCATCAGAGGGAGAATTCTCAATGAAAGTCATTGTCCACAAAGACTATTGTGCAATTACGTACTTAAAAAGTTCTCTGTTCTCTCATGCTTGGTATCTGTATGTGAGGCATGAAAAAATGTCAGTTCACCACAGACGTAGCACCAATGACAGCATTAAACATGTATACTATCCAAACCCATCCTCATAAGATAATGCCTTGATAAATCCTACTTAGAGAAACGTGAATGAAAGGATACTCACAGGAACATGGTTGACTCAAAACTGGCTGCATCTCTGAGAAGTTGTCTACCAGTGTCTTTAGCAGCTCTGCAAAGTAGCTTCACCTAAGTTCTACCTTAACTAATCTTTTATATCCTGTATATACAGAGAGACCCAAAGGGCAAGGAGAGCTGAAATGCAGAGGGAAGGAAACAATGTCTAGGTAAGGATGTCATTCTCTATTTTTCAATGAATATTTATACCCTCTTTAATATTTCCACACTCTATGTCTCCAAGTATTGTTTTGCTTCTGGGCATAGTATTTCTATCATTCAAATTATTTTGTAAAGTGTCTGTCCTGAGATGACTCATAGTCTTGTCTAGCAGGAGATGCATACTTATTACTTAATACTTTTTCCTTAGTTTATGGTAATATGGTCTTTCTGTCACATCTTCTGCAATGTTCCCTAAGTTTTCAGATATCATAAATAAATCTGATTCTATCCAAAATCGGACCACCACATTGTAGTCCTAGTCAATTATTCCTGACATTTTAACCATTAATCATTTTTCCTAACCATCAACATTGTAAACTGTTGCCTCAAAGTTGATGACAGTTTAAGTAATCTATAGAATGAAAAATAAATGTTTACACAAGGCACATTGAAAGGCATGCTATGTCTATTTACCAAAACTCTGAATCTCATACTATTGTTTGAGTCTATGTTTTCCTCAGGCTCATATTTTTTATTCTCCTAGAATGTAAATCACAAGTTTTCTCTTGGCTGGTTCACCTTGAATCACTTCAAAGAGATGTTAAATTGTGATTATAACTGTTAGTCCACTGTTTAACAACTTGACACACTTTTCAGGCTTGCTGATAACTTTTTTTATTATTCTCGTTTTTTTACTAAGAGTTTTAGTATTTACTTTTTAAAATATTTTATTAGATATTTTCTTTATTTACCTTTCAAATGTTATACCCCTTCCTGGTTTCCCCGCTGAAGACTCCCTATCCCATCTCTTCTCCTCCTGCTTCTATAAGGGTGTTGCCTCCACTCACCCACCCACACTAGCTTCTCTGTCCTGGAATTCCCCTATGCTAGAGCACAGAGCATTTCCCAGGACCAAGGGCCTCTCCTCCCGTTGATGTCCCACAAGGCAATCCTCTGCTACATATGCAGCTCGAGCCATGGGTGGCTCCTTGTGTACTCTTTGGTTGGTGTTTTAGTCAGTGGGAGCTCTGGGGGGTCTGGTTGGTTCACATTGTTGTTCTTCCTATGGGGCTGAAAACCCCTTCACCTCTCTCATTCCTTTCTCTAACTCCTCTGTAGTGGACCCTATGCTCTGTCCAATGGTTGGCTGGCAGTATGCACCTCTCTATTTGTCAGGCTGTAGGAGACCCTCTCAGGATAAACCTATATCAGTTTCCTGTTAGCAAGCACTTCTTGGCATCCATAATAGTGTCTGGGTTTGGTCTCTCTATATGGGATGGATCCTCAGGTGAGGCAGTCTCTGGATGGCCTTTGCTTCAGTCTCTGCTCTACATTTTGTCTCTGTATCTCCTTCCATTGGTATTTTGTCCTGCTTTCTAAGAAAGACATCCACACTTTAGTCTTCTTTCTCCTTGAGCCTCATGTGGTCTGTAAATTGTATCTTGGGTATTATGACCTTTTGGGCTAATATCCACTTATTAGTGAGTGCATACTATCTGTGTCCTTTTGTGATTGGGTTACCGCATTCAGGATGATATTTTCTAATTCCATCCATTTGTCTAGTAATTTCATGAATTCATTGTTTTTAATACCTGAATAGTACTTCATTATATAAATGTAAGACATTTTCTGTATCTGTTCCTCTGTTTAAGCACATCTGGGTTGTTTCAAGCTTCTGACTATTATAAATAAGGCTGGCAGAACATAGTAGAACATGTGTAGTTCTTATATCTCGGAACATCTTTTGAGTACATGCTCAGGAGTGGTATAGCAGGGTCCTGACATAGTACTATGTCCAATTTTCTAATCAAGTGCCAGACTGATTTCCAGAGTGACATGTAGATCACTAGTTGCTATAGTCCCAGTTTTCCTAACATACAGCATTTATTGTGCCTATTGACAGCATGGATGTAGTTCAACATCATATGTGTTCGAGATCCCTTTAAGACTACATATTTTTCATGTCATGAAACGAGGGTACATAATTTCTTAAGTAGTCAGCATTTAGTTATGGTGTACATTCAACAAGAGTACTAATACCAGGCATAGATTTTGGACTTTAGGTGCCCTGGCTCCTTAGAGCTAATCATAGGGGAGAAACTGATACCAGTTACAGTAAGTTATCACAGTAATATTGTGTCTTTAGTCGTAGTAAGTTTATCTTGTAGGAGGACTGTACCCTATACAATGATAATTTAAAAATTGTATTAACATTTTTAAAAAACACCATTGGTCATAGTTCATGAGGTATTTGCTCAAGAGCTGTACAAGACATGCATGTGTTACCGTATTTTTTGAAATAATTTTGTAGATGACACATTTCATCTACATGTTAGGAACAAATGTAGATCAAGCATGGTCCTGAAAGTCTTCAGATACCTTGATGACCAGTAATATGCAAAGCTGCAAATGCATGAGCCTTTCATAATGTATAAAAAGAGAATCTGTGTTTTCCTTTCTTCTTTATATCATGAATTTATTTAAGTATGCATGCAATTAAGTACAAAGTGTGCTTCATAGCAATAAACATAATCCCAGCTGTGGTCATTGAGAAAACAGGTTCTCTGGATAAATAATTTATAGGTCTGTTAATATTACTTAGCTTATAATTTTACTTACATTTGATCAAATCTACAATGCACATTGTTGTTTGATTACTCTTCCATCCTCCACTCTTCTGCATGTGTGATTACACCCACAAGACATAGTTTCAAAACGTAGCTAGTAAACTGCTTGGTTCTTTGAGTTAAAGCAGAAGCTGAAGACTCACTTGGATCTGTTCAGTTTCCTCTTCAGTTAGCAGAATAGCAGATGTGGATGTGTGGCAGCTGCTTTGGACTATATCAAGGTACCACCTGCCTGGATTGTGTTGAATATCCTGCAACTGATGAGAAGGACTAAGTTATCTTAAATTTGGAAATGAATAAATGTATTATACATGAATAAATTATTAATACAATTTGTGTGTAATTTTTAAAATTTTTGTGTTTATGTTTGATTTAGATGATTGTGTAGTTGTGTTTGAGAATATGTGCACAGACATGTGTATAAATGAATTTCTATATGAATCAAGATAGGAGTGTAATAATCAGCAGGAAGCTTGAGTTGTTTTAGCTTATTTTCCACCTTTTCTGAGACAGTATTTTGTTATCAACTAATGCCTGCATTAGCTAGCTTGACCAGCAAGGTTACAGGTTTCCCTTGTAATTCCTCCCATCTCTCCTGCAGGAGTGAAGGGTTTACAGAGATGACTTACTGTGTTCTGATTTGCGAAGGTTGTTTAGACTCTCTAGGCAATTGTGTGTTCACAAGCACTTTATTTATTCACTGAGGGATTTTGCTAAAATTAGATGTGTAATTAAAAGCAAAAAGACAAAATCTAAGTCTAAAAAATTAAGAAAATTAACCTTTCTCCCAACTTTTAAACCACTGGGCATGTAATTTCACTTTTATTTTTCTAGTTATCAGTTTCGTCCCCTCTTAACTACTAGCTTTGAGATTTCATGGAACTCTACTCTTCTTGACATATTCAGTCACTGATTGTTTATTTTCTCTATGAAACTTGATCCATGGTGCTACTGCATTTGCTCCTTATAGTAACCTATGGAATGGAATTTTCCATTAGAAAGTAGGCAGAAGTACGTGAGATACTTATGAAGGAATTTAACATTTCTGAAGTTTGGTTTCAGAGTTCAGAAGACAGGCTCATGGCATAATCAAACATGTTCTTGAGGTTTCCCTGGCAGGAAACATCCCAGCTGGGACACAAAGTTACAGAGGCCACATTATCCCATAGGAGATGATTTGACACTAGCAACACCAGGAGTGTCCCTGCTAAATAAACAGAGGTGTCACTCATGTTCATCTCTCCAATGTGTCTATAGAAATAATCCTTTGGAGGAAAGCTTTGGCCTCTTCAGATCTTTCTGCATGACTTGGTTCTGTATAACAGGAGTGGGGAATAAACATTTTGGACTGTTTATACATAGTTGAGTAATTATTTTTGCATTGATATTTTGTCAGTAGGTGACTTTCTGCATTTGGGATTGCCCTCAGAAGTTCTTCTGAATGCAGCAAATACTAAGAATTTATAATAATTACAAGCTAGCATTTTCAAGTCCTTCTGTTCAGATGTTTTGATGTTTAGGGAATTCATGCTTATTTTCACTCTCACACTCTATGCATTTGTAACATTTTAAAGTCAAGGTATGATTTTAGCATTTGGTCCCTGATGTGAAAAGGACAGCAATGGTCATCTGTTTGCTTTATCTTCATGATTGATAAAAATAAATAAGCGACTGCTGGATTTCTAACACCAAGGATGAAGACTGTATTGTTGTGAAAATGATACACTAGCTTGAATTTGATGATATGCCATAAAAACCTCATAAGTAAGTAGTTTACTTCAGAAAAAGATTTTGAATTTTTTTCCTAGGGAATGGTAATAACCTAAGTGACTTTCAACTAATGATTGGACAATGAAAATATGGTATATACACACAGTGAAATACTATTCAGCTGTAAAGAAAAATAAAATCATGAATTTTCAGGTAAAATTCTGGAAATAGAAAATATAATATAGTAAGTAAAGTAATCCAGACACAGAAAGAATAATTCCATAAATCCTCTTATTTGTGGATTTGAATGCTTGTACTTGATCATGTAACATAAAGCATTTAAAGAAGTAAGGAAAACAGAGAGGAACCTGAAGTCAATAGAGAAAGAAGGAGCTCAAGGAAAAATGATAGGAAAAGAGAATTACTAGGAAGTGGGTAATTGAAAAATATGTCCAACTTTAACTGGAGAGGGGAGAATGGAAATATAGAGGGAGAAAAAAAGAGACGTAACAATAAGGATG